CCCTGGGGCAGCTGCCGGGTCAGCAGCGGGCACTGGGTACCATGGCCAAGGGGGATGATGCCCTGGGGCCTTCCATGGAGCTGGACCCCTGCCCTGGCACCAGTGGACCCTACGTTGGCCTCATCCCTCCCAATGGGGACAAATTAAATTGAATTAATTAAAACATTAAGTAGCTAGAGCGACCTGCTGCCAGAAGAGATGCTCTCGTGCATGAGAGGAAGAGAAGGCGAATTTTGGCAGGTCTCTAGGGGTGCCAAGACCCTTAGTTTGTTCCTAAGGATGAGCCGAGACCCCTGGTTTGTTCCTAAGGATGAGCTAACCCCGTTCCGTGCCAGGCAGAGGGCTGGTGTGCGGGGTCAGGGGGAAAGCTGCTTTTTGCAGGTTTGCTGGAGCAGACAGCAATGAAAGGCACTTGGATCTTCCCCTCTTCCCTGTACACAAGGTCACTTTTAAGGCCAGCAAATGTTGTGTTTAGGTAAGGTTGGTGTTTTGACATCAGCTGACAAAAGCCAGGAAACTAACACTTCGCACTGACCCTGGGCAACTCGCTAGCTCCCAAATGTTTGTTTTCACAACAGTGTGAGTTAAGGACTGAGTTTAACTTATGAATTTCCTGGCTTTTGTCAGTTTGCCTTAGAGCCATAACCTGGTTTGAACGTATTTCTTTCTGTATTTAATATTAATGCTGGAAGTGCTATTTACAATAGCCATCTTCTAATGAGTGGGCAAGAGTACAAAGCGTTTTGAGAGGGGGAACATCAAGTGTTTGAAATTGGTAACAGACATGGAGGCTCTTGGCAAAGGATCACTTATAATAAATGATCTTTTTGTTTTTACTTAGTAAGAGGTCAGTTCATTAAAAAAGGGTCTTTTTTATTCTTTTAGATGCTCTTTTCACAAAAAAAAAAAAAAAGCCTTTTTTTTTTTTTTTTAACCTGCTGCCTTGCAGTGGTAGCAAGGCAGAAAGGGAATTGTCTGTATCAAAGAAACTGATTATGGTCTTAAAAGACCATTTGAAAATACAGGATATGTCCCTTAAGTGAAGGACTCTTCCTTGGTCACTTTGATGGATTTGATGGCAGCATTTCTTGATGGCTATTTTTATCTCTGAGGTTCAAGTATAAAAGCTTGCAGTTCCCTTGGAAGTTGGTGGGAGATTCATCACTTTATCGCTTGGACAAAATTAATCCTTCTTTTGAAACCCGTAGAGTTACTCACAGGAGATGAATTCCGAGCAACAAGTTATCACAGAACCCAACCTGCACATTGGGCATGATTTTATGCCAGCTAAATAGTTCTGGCTTACTTGAGGGCTCAATGGAATGAGCCATCCTTTGGCTCATCCTTAACATTCCTTTGTATATATATGGGGTTGTCCAGGAATTAGTAAAATTAAAGGGAGCAAGCAGGAGAAAAAAAAATGTATGTCATTAAAAAAATACTGAAACAAGACAACTCAGAACAGCTCTGAATTATGGTTCCTTGGGAAGGGTGCTGAATTCCAGGGTGCTTAATTCCAGGGTTGCTGACTGCGAGCCGCTTCCTGGCGCCCTATGGCTGCTACTGTGCATTCACTTCCATACGGTGCTTGCTCTGATGTGACACATCATACAGGACAGCCTGGAGGGGCTTCCTGTGCATTTCTTCCGCCTTTTGTGTGGATTAGCTCTTTTTTTCCTTCCCCCCTCCCCGTGTGTTTTCAATGGGAGAAGATTCCTTCTCGGCTTTGCTGAGATGGATTAAATAGAGCTGCTTTGCAGAAAAAAAAGTGACTTGTGCCTCTCCTCCCAGTCAATCATTAGGAGTTTGTTAGAAAGCTCCCAGAAATGGCCCCCTGTGGCTACCTACTTTCTGATGCTGAATGACTTGCCCTGATGCAGCCATCCAAATTCTCTGACCCGTGTGTAGGCTTGAGACCTGCTGCACAAATTCAAGTCATACTTTCAACTGGCACAAGCCTTGCAATATTTTACAATATAATGGCTATTAATGGAGAACATTAAATGATGAGCAGAGTCTACGTGGCATGTCGTAATGCTGTGATAGGACATTGCTGGTACTTGACTGTTTCAGCACAGTCATAATTTGCGACTTATTATCTAGGCCCTCAGCAGCCTCGGTGGTGCCAGGAGCACCATGCTGAACAGCCCAGGCGAGGAGACATCATTCCTGGGTGCTTGGTGAGCTCCTGGGCCCTCATGGAAGGCTGGAGGGCAGGGTGCTGACCCTGGGCTAGACCTGGCCTGCAAAGATTGTGCCCTGTGGCCTACAAAGACTAGAGATAGAAATTGTCATTTGCTTGTGAGCCTCCTGCTGGCAGAAGCTCCATTTCCCTTTGTTTTGAGGTAAAGGCTCCCTTTCCCTCTCTCAGTCCTTCAAGGTTTCTCCCTAAGAACAAAATAAGGGGTTTCTCCTGGAAGAAAAGGGTCTTCTAACAATGGCCGGGAGAACAAAGGAGTGAGTGACGGGCCTCATCTGCCTGACAAGCAGCTGGAGTGCGGAGCTTTTGAGTGTGCAAATAGAAATCTTTGTGTGGCGTGTCTGTGGAGTAACTTATTCATTAGATCTCTTTTCACTAAGTTAATGAACTTATGCAGCCTGATCCTGCTTCTAATTTAGTTGGTGCCAGTCACATTTCTGTGCAGTTTGGGACAGAAGAGAGCACTGAACTTCGGGGCTAATCCGGAGTGCTACAGGCCGCTACATTTTACTTGCATGTGACTGTCTGCCTGAATATATATCAAAGTTTCTCTCAGAAGGGCATTCAGCCTTGACTTAAAAGGGCTGAGGAGGGAGAACCTGCCTTGCCTTGGTAGCTTGTTCCACCAGTTAACAACCTCTGTGCCTGGACATCCTATTTTGAGCATATCTGGCTCCACGTTTTAGCTCCAGCTTCTTGCACTGTTTTCCCATTAGATTAAAAGATATTTCAGAATCCAGCACTACTAATAGAGTCTCCCTAAACTAAACTTTTTTTTTGAATTTATTTTTGTGAGCTCCTCTATTTCTTTTCAATGTTCCTTTAAAAATAAAAACCCTATGCAATATTCTTCTGTATTGCTGTCAGTAGTGCTTCACTCAGTGATTTTTTTCTCTCTATTTACTAGCCTCTGTTTATAGGTTTGCACTAGCACTGTTTGCTGCCAGGGAAAACCAAGACTCTATTTCTGAAGGCCCAAATGTTTGGCACTTCGGATTGCTTCACGATGGAGAGTTTGAGCAAGTGTCCCTCCCTCCTGCCTCGTTATCCACACAAACATCTTCTGAGCCTGAGACTGGCAGGGATCAGAGGTTTGGTGAGTTAACCAAGACCAAGATCAGGTTTCTTTTCTCCAGTTCCCCACAGGAAAAAAAAATGTTTTTGGATGTTCTGAATGATTGTAATATTGAAATAACCTGGGCTACACAAAAGACTTGCATGATGCAAAGTGCTGCTAGTTTTGATAAGGCCAAAGTTTTGGTACCCTCATTAGACTAATTTTCTTAGGGTTCGTGCACCTGTTTTAGGTATCGTGTCCAACTTGTGTCCAAACCTAGATACAAATGATTGAAAAGCATTAAAGTGATCAGGAGTAATTCCCGTGGGATAGACATTCACCCAGAACCATGCAGACCTGCTTGCTGTTTCATCTCTCTGTGTCTCTGTCGTGTTTTCCTCTTGCACCATTTGTTTGTCTCTTGTCCTATCATTTCAAGAAAAACCTGTATACAGGGCCTGCTAGACTACACAGTGGTGGTTAAATTCCTCTAGTCACACAGGCATAAGGAACGCTTAACTAAACTAAAGCTCAGGCTAAACGTACACACACACACAAAACCTTTAACTAAAGCTAAAAAAAACTAAGATGAGAATAGGGCCGCCCTGTTCCTGCATCAGTCTGTATTTAAATCCATCTTATTTTGATACAACTTTCCAGTGTAGACAAGTTTTGTGGTACAAAAGGTGCTGGAAAGCAATCACCAGACATGGTGATCATTTCTTCTCTTTATTTTCTTAATATTTCAAATATTGAACAATACAATAAAATACTCATTTTGGAAACAGAGAAAGTGCAATAGTCTCCCCGAATTAACACAGAAGGAATACTATCAAAAAGTCTTGGCAGAGATTGTATTATAAAATCTTCTTAACAGTTGAGATATCCGGGCTGACAATGAAATGTTAAAGCTCTTGTATTTTGGCATGTTAATGATCCATCAATTGAGGTGTGTTTTGATCCCAGCGGTGCCAGGAAGTGAATGATTACAATGTGTAGGTGGAGCACAAGCTCTGTGCTGGCCAGGGGAGGGTTAACCACAGCCAGCACATGAGGTGGGAATGCAGCTCAGCTGGGGGCTCATTGAAATGGGGGATAGAGCAGCTTCTGGGGGGATACCAGCAGTTGTTCATAAGGGCCTTCCTGAGAGGGTGCTCTCCTGGATTGGGAGTCTTGCTTGCAACCTGTGGCTTGTGAGTTCTCTGAGGTATTGCTGCCAGTCACAGGTGCTGTCACAAAGGCTGTGCCAGTCACAAAGGGTTTGGTGGTTGTGTATTTGGGGGTGAAGCTGAATGTTGCAGGTCAGTCTGTGTGAGAACTAAACCTCTCTCAGGAGAGGAGAACTAGTTTTGTCTTCTTTACCTTTCTCAAGGTTGTGTGTTTTCTGTCCATACTTTTCTTTGGTCCCTTGGGCTCACTGTGAGGTGTTTTTTGTGACTCCACCTGCACAGTATTAATTTAGTTGTCCCTCCTCCACCCCAGAAAGCAAAAAATAGTAAATGTCTTTCCCCTGAATTAGCCAAGTGAACAAGCTCAGGATAGTACTGAGGGTGGGGGTAAATGTGGAAATGAGCAGAAGTCAGAAGGGGAAGAGAAGACAAGTTGGTAGTGGAGGGCTCTCCACTATGTACCTCAAATCTGAGCACTGTGGTGAGCGCTTTCTGGGAAAAAATGTGCTGAGTAAGAGGAGGGGGTTCAGCTCTGATTTTTATTGTGTTTTCTTTCAAAAGTTGGTACCCTGGAAGGTGTGGAAGCGAGGCAGGAGTCAGAGATCTACGTTTGTGGATGTGGCAACTGGTGGCAGCTTATTTCAGAAGGAAAGCTGAGGTAAGTGACTGAGCTTACTGTCTCTGTGTTCCTGAGCTCCATTGCCACGTGCTTGGTGGAGGCCTTGTCTCTTGGAGAGTTTGGGAAGTTGAGTTGGATAGATTCTGATAAGGACCTTGTAGCTTCAACTTGTAGGTAGTTGAAGCCTTTTGTCTAACTCTTAGATGTTTAATTTGTTAAAATGCTACTGTGCCTCTTACCTAAGAAATGAGTATGGCTGGGTAACTTCTAAGTAATTTATATTTATAGAATCTCCCCTCTATGGTGGAGAATGTTGCAATGAAGTGGAGTGTTGCAGAATGTTGTTGGTGGAGACTTGACATCCCCACTAAGTGCATTTTCTTTATTTTTAATTAAGAGTAGCTTCAGTCTGCTCCTGGGAGCTGGGAGGCAGTTGGTGCTTGAAGTGCCCTAGATGTGCTCTCAGAGTGAGCCTGCTGATTTAGGCTCATCTAGAAGGGAACCAATTTGTGTGCTCTGAGAGAGCCTGTGATATAAACCAAAGCACTGCTCAGGGGGGAGTTATCAAGATACTTGCTTCAGAAGAGTATTTCTAATAGAAGTGAAAATGACGATGTAGGCATGCCCTTCTTGAGAGGGATGTAACTTTGAAGATGAATATCAGAAAATGTAGTTAAAATTGCTTGCTTTTCTTGATGTATGACAGTATTTTGCTTCTGGAGACTGTCAGGAGCTCTGGATATGTTTAGGAAAGTGGCTAATGAGGATTAACGTTTGTTCCTGCAAACTTTGGGCAGCATCCAGGATTTGCTGTAATACATGTTAACCAGTAACTTGTAAGAGAGATGGTTTCGGGGCTTGGCTGACAAAGAAACTAGACTTAGAGCTGGGCAAAATGGAGCCTAATCATTGCTTTGAATATATGGAACTGAAGAGCTGACTACGATGAGCTTCTCTAAAGTCAGTTGGGAAGTCTGCAGCAAAGTAGTTGGATTTTTGTCCTAAGAACCCTGAACAGTCATCCTCTTACCTGTGTGTTATTGTCTATTGATAAAATTAAGTAATCCCCGACAAAACCCACTAGGGTTTGCTGTGACGTGAATTGCGCTATGGGCTCATGAGCTAGCCCAGAGCCAGGAACAAAGAGGCATCTCTCAGTAGTTTCTGTAAAAGAGCTCCACTTACTGTCTTTACAAGTAACAAGCAAATCCTGTTTTTCTCTGGGTCCTCAGGAAAGGAAACGATGGGATCACACAGGAATTTATAGGGTTTCTAAGTCTATATGTACTCAGCTTAGTTTTGGTTCTCACTCTACTGACCTTACTACTTGAATCAGCTATTTCAGTATAATCCTTAATTTAGTTTTAATCTAGAACACCATCATAAGAATACAATCATAATTGCCATGTTTCCAGGTCTTTTTTGTTTAAGTTTTGCTTTTTTGGTCGTATTTTTGATATCTTCAGGGCATCTCATAAATTCATCACCACTGGCATTAGTGCAACTAACTGAGTTGCATTTTGTTACTTTCTGTTCTGATTTTAAGTGGTACATGGTTTTCTCTCCTCTCAAACATTAATCACTTCAGGAAACACTTTGCTTTGTAGCCGGAGGCCTTCGTTCTTGCAAGTGTTCAGCCAGCAGTGATCTGATAAGCTCAGTGCTGAAAGTACTTTGTGAAAAGAGATTTCATTCATCTTGAATATTGGGTAACAAACTGTCAAGATTTCTTTCTTTTTAATACATCATTTCTATACAGCTTAGACATCAGACAGAACAAATATCGAGACCAAGAAAGCAAAAAGATATATAATTGAATGAAGCATACTACTGAACTCTTACCCCACGCCTCCAGGAGAGGAAATCCTGTACAATTAGATATTGCACTTGACTTGCATCATCCAGTTTACACATCAAATAATACAAATGACGCATTATTATGTGACTTCTTCAATCTCTAGTTCTAAGTACCAAGATAGTACTAGGATGAACTCGGTTGTCAGGTATGAAATCAAAGTGGTGGGAATGGATTATAAAAGAATTAAAATACAAACAGCCTATGCAAACCTGGCATATCAAAATCTTTGAATTTCCTTCAGAGTCCCCCCTTTTCTTTTTTTCTTTTTTTTTTTTTTTTCTCTTTCCCCTCCTCCCTCCTCTCTCTTCAAAGCTAGTAATTATTTTGGCTCCCCAATCTTGAAGCTCTTTAAAGGCTCAGGCTCTTGGGTGATGTCTCCTGTTTTTAAGGAATACCAGATCAGGCACACAGGTACATAAAGCTCTGAGTATTTAAATAAGCAACCTATGTATATATGTATGTGTGTGTATTTATTTTGTTATTCACTTTTACATTAAATGTACTTGGTGGCAAGTACTCGACTCGTCTCATTTCTGGATCCCTGTCCTTGCACAACAAGGACCCTTACTGGGAACAGGTAGACAGGCTGTTGTGTGACTCAAACTAGAGAAGTGGGGAACTCAAGGCTGTAATCCTGCCTTAGAGATCTTCCCATGAAGCCCAGTTTCATTAATTTTACTATGCTGCTTTTGAAATGAGGTTAATTAAGAGGCTGAAAACTTGTAGAGGTTGCTGAATGTGGAAAACAATGCGGTGGGTTATGGGAAACGCATTGGTGGGCAGTAGTTCAGGATTGTTACAAAGCAGTTCCTGTCTGAAAAACGTTACCATGGCACTGTGCAGCTCTGTTTACGTCTTAGCTTATCCATAAAATGATCTGGCTTGTTCCATCCTGTATTTTCAGTCTAGACTCTAATGCATATTTGTGTATCAGTGGGAATAGTAGGAAACATTCACTGTAGAATTGGCAGCAATGTAGTGGAAATTGTAAAATACAAATGTGATGACACACAAAATATCAGCTGTATCGTGTACTTTCTAAATAAAACCTCAGCTTGAGATCTGTAGCAGAGATGAGCTTGGTGGCCTTCTGACTTTCACATTAACAAGACTCCAGATTTTGGTAGACTTATTCACGGGAAGCTTGTTCTAACAGATATTTAGATAGTTGGGTTATCCTGTTATGGTAACCATAAAACAAGATGTGGTAATATGTGTCCCTGGGGTGTTCGTCACCTCTTGTACCATGTTATCAGATTTTAATTTAGTTTACTCTACAAGTTCTCTGTGGTGTCCTATCGTCAACTTATATTATAGCTCTTCACTGCTTGTTCTGCAATTAATATTCTGTTCTTGTCGTGACTTTACTCATATGTAAGCTAATCAAAAGGAATATTAACCAAACAGTCTCATGGCCCTGACTGTCACGTTGCTCATTTGGTTTCTCTGTAGTGGGCTTTAATGCAATTTACAACAGATACTGGCAAGCTACAGCTTAGTCCTCTGATGATAGTCAATAAACAAGTGAGACCTGTTATGTGTGCACTGAAAATAGCACAAAATGCTACAGAGTGGAGGAAAGAGTCTTTTATGTGTGTGGGTGTGTGTAGGTTTTTCGATTATTTGGTTTTTTTTGTTTGCTTTAGCAAAATGCCTTATTTGGGATAAGGAAATTTATAATTAGTGTCCTGTTACTCTGTTTCAGTTTTAATTCTGCTGGAGAGCTATACAGACAACTCAGAAATCTTTATTAGAAAAATGAACAGTCTTAATATTTGATTTGTGTGTCACGTTTCTCCTTCAGTAAGATGGGTAGCTATATATTGCAGCTCAATCTTAAAAATATTTTTTGCCCTGCGTGAGAAATTGGAGCATTTAGAAAAACAGATCCTATTCCCTAGGCGGTACCTGTAAGCGTTGCTGCAAGACAAACAGTGACTCTGGGCGTACAGGTCTCCAGTCTTGCTCCCAGCTGGGCCAGCTGAGGGATTACCAGCCTGCTGATGCTGGAAGAGCTGTGTAGTGCAGAGCTTTTATTAAAACTTTCTTCACTCTGTAAAGCAGTCTCTGGGCAATTGGCTCACAGCCTTGCAAAGCAGGCAGCTGCTTGACAGTGCTCCGTTGAGCTTTAAAGGAGAAAAGCCAGGTCTGAAGAAAACCAGTGAAGGAGTTTCAAATATACTGAGTTCATAAAACAGCTATATTACATCAGACTTACTAGGTTTTGATTAAAAATAAATAAATTGAAGAAAACACCCAACTGTCTGGAGGAAATAAAACGGGGAAAAACAAACAAAGTTTGCCTCTGAGCAATGCAGGCTGATGTTGCTTTAAACTGAAAGATTACATAGCTTAGGAAGTTATTTGTTATGCTCAAATAGTTGCAAAGTGATAGATGAGGGAATATATAACCAGTGCTGGTCTCCTTTATTGATTGCTTTAAGCAAATATGCAGCAAAGGATTTCCCACTAATAGAAATGATCCATCAATCTTTTGCCATTGAAATGTCAACTATCTGGGCAGTCGGTGCTACGTCAGAGACTTGCTCTAAGGACAGAGCTCTTATTCTGAATTAATGAGAGCTCGCTAGTCTATACTTGATTTACATGAGGGTGAAATTGGGTAATGGTTCTTCCCCTGCATTACACTGACAGCTTTCTGCCTTTGTTTCCAACCTCAGAAATGACTTTTTTTTGTGCTTGAAAGCTTGTCTGTTTAACCTAAACAGTTGCTGTTAACTTGCTGCTTACAAAACTTGCAGAACTTCTCTTTTTAAGTGACCTCCCTTAGGAATGTGACATTGTAACAGAGCATAAAAGAATTGGATTTTGAAGGAGTGTTTTTTGGGAGCAATATGTTTAGGTTTAGTGTTGTAATTGTTTGGTTTTAAAATAGGAGAAAGAGATTTGCCTTAAATCTTGCCTGTCAAAAAAGCTGGTTATTGCTGATGCACAGAGCACCGTCCCAAGACTTTGAACTTTAAACCTGTCTAGTTACTCAGAGAAAAGTGCTTTTCCTGGGATCACCGTACTATGCTCTGTACTGTTGGAGGAAGTCTACCCCATCTTTTTTGTCTATTTCTTAACTTGGGGCTTAGTTGAATGATAGTCTAGAAACATTTGTGTGCATTTTGAATATATAGATATCTTCTTGGCTTGCAAGTCGATGAATACCAACAATACATTCTGAAGCCTACATACTGCAAACATATTTCTGCACTGATTTCTACATTATATTTATTTATAAGTTTAAAATTTGTAATTTATCAATACAACTATATCCAACTGAGCAAACCACTCTAATTTATGAAGAAACTTTCTGTCTGACAGATTCTGGCATCAGGGGGATGTTGTGCTTGGCATGGGTCCCCATGATGTGCAAATCAGATACAGGGAGCGGAGGGTCAGTCTGTCTCGGGGCCAGAATTGTGGTGTGCCTTAAATTGCTGGTGAGGACAGAGCAACACAGCATCCAGGGAGATGATGGGAGGGAGGGATTTACTGCTTAGAAATGTGTTCATGGAAGCAGCGCACACAAACTGCAAACAAGCTTCATTTCCCTAATCTGTTTACATACACGTCTAGAGCCAAGCTCAATTTGGTCCTGGCCAAGCATGTTGAGAGTGACACCTCCCATAATTCTGCAACCTGGGGAGGATTTTGCTTCATTTGCACATTTGCAACTTTAAAAAAAAAAAAAAAAAAATCAGAAAATGATGGTCATCTCTGACTTAGCCTGATATAAAACGTTGTGGTCCACAGCATCCAGGCTATCAGTTTGTGTCAATGCTTGCAAGCATCTCTGTAAGGCAGACCAGAACAACTGTTTGGAGCTTAAATGAACTTTGTACATGGCAGGTTTTCCTGGCGGCACTGAATTGTTAGCTTTGTAGCTTTTTCTTTTACATGAAGTACTCTGGTGTGATAAAGGGATACTTTTTTTGTCTTGCCTTTTCTGTACTCTACTGGCTGTTCCTTTACTAGTAAAGAAATCATGAGGAAAGATATCTGCACTAAATACATGAAATTCTTATCACCTTTCCCAATTTTTATATTTCTGTAGGGCAAAGAGGTATGTACTTCTCCACACAGCATGTGAGAATTAAAGACCAAGAGTTAGGTGACTTGTCTGACGTTTTGTGGTGAAATGAAGTTGTGGATCTGACTCTTCCAAATCTCAGGCAGATGTCCTAATCACTGGACTGTCCTCACCTTTTCCTGTTGTGCTTCATTGCTGACACTTCCAGCAGAGCTGAAGTACTGTTAATGTTGGATTATAATATTGACAACAGCATAAGTACTGCTCTTTATTTGCTGAACCTCCTTAACCTTTGCATCTGTTTAAATGTATTAAAATTAGACCCAATGGCCAAGGTGCTAGAAGTAGCTCTGGGAATCATAAATCACCCTATGGGGAAAGAAGCTACTTTGGCTCAATACTGAGAGTGGAAATGGTCATTGTGAAGCCTCACGTGAGATGTTTCTCTTCCTCTCACCATCCCTGGTACTTGTATAACATTGTTGAGTGCCGAAGTCAGGTGCTGAGCTCAGATACTTTTCCTGGGTTTTTGACCTGATAGCTCTAGGACTGTGAGTGGACTGCACCACGACCTCACTTGCATTATTTGTGTTATTGTGCCTAGTGAGTAGGCAGGAGGCTACTCGATCTTTCTAAATGTCTTATCCAAGTCAAAAACATTCTGGAATGCCCTTGCCCACAATGATGAAGGAAGGGCTAGTTTCAAAACATGGAATTGGCAAGATTCTCTTTCAAGATCGCTTAGATTTTCAGCAATACATTTCCAAAACGTCAGGGAACAGTTAGATGGTGTTTTTGAATATAACTTAAGTTTCAACTAAATGTCAGTAGGAAAGGATATTATTTAACAACAAATCAGCATTGTTTAAAATATTGAGCTATTGGACTAAGCCGTTCTGGCAAAACCTGGTTTAGGTTGTGGTTTTTCTCTGCAGGCTGAAGTTGGAAGCCAAATCTGAATCTAGAAAGAGCTTTTCCAACATTGTAACATCTGCTGTCTTCCCACAGAAAATGCAAAAATGATGTCAATAACTTGCCCAGGTTTCAGAGCACAGTACTATTTTTGAATTATGCCAGTCATGCCAATTAGAAGCAGCAGTCTTCATGGAAGTTCATTTTAATAGATCTCTGCTAGTATTTGTGATGACCTAAAATTATAGGTTACTATTCATAGTTTCCATTAAACTTTTTATTATTTTGACAGTGGCATTTACTTCTAAAATAAGCATACTTATAAACAAAAATCCTTCTTGGATAAGGTGCTTAAAGGAAGCAGGAGAAAAAGGCTATTATAAATCTTTAAATCTCTGAAAGTTTGGTGGTGGTAGACAACATGCAGGAGGTACTGAACGTTTAACTTAAGCTTTTATGTAAAAAGGACCTCCCTCCCAAAGACTTTCTGGAAGAAGGAATGCTGAAATGATCAGACTTTGGCTGTGGACATGACGTGTCTCCTGCAAGCTGGGAGGAGATCCTGTGTTTGAGCAGTCTGTCAAAGAGCAACAGGAGATTTCTGATGGCTCATAATACTTGATTGACCTGGTCCAAATCATCAGACTTTGAAGAAAATGAACTATTTTTAGCTTTCTTGTAAACTTCTACTCTGAGGTCGGCGGTTCCACTCACTTGGAGTTCAATATGAATCTTTCCTAACCAAAGAGCAAATATATACAGTGCAAGAGACAGGTTCAATGCAAGAGACAGGTTCATGCTCTAGAGATCCTGAGTTCTTGCTAATTTTGGAAAACAAAATTGACTTACTCGTAGAGAATGAAACACTGTTCACTATCAACTCAGACATTTAAATGCTCTGGCTAGGAGACTTTCCTGGATGTTGTCAAACTCCTCATTAAATTTGTGGCTTTGCATGGTGACTTCTTTGATGCTCAGACTGTCTAGACCAATATTATTTTCATGGGATCACATGGTTTCATGCTTTGAGTATTCATTGTGTCACTGCTTTTCTATATGACACCATTAAAATGTATTTCTGTTGCATTAGAGTACCATAAATGTGTACTTTGAGTCTGTTTCCACTATCTATGTGGATGAGAACTGTGCAATTCTAGATGTTATTCTGTAAACCATGAAACTAATGAAGCCAAAGGATTTCTATTGTGCATGCCCTAAGCCCTACTAGTATCTTGGCTTCTTTCCATGCCTTCAATGCCATGTCTTCCTGTTTCCCCACATTCTGGCCTGGACATGTACTGGTATGTATTATTGCTAGCTGGAAGCTGGGAACGAGCTCATTAGTTGCTCAAGATTTGTGTGCTTATTGGCCAACTGGAGGATGTTTCTCCAAATAGATAAGGAAAAAGTTGTTCTAATTCACCTTCCTTGAAGATGACTTGATCAGTCTCTCCAGCATGAATTCTCACAGTGTTTCTTAGAGCTTTTTATTTTTGTCAACCAAATTTGACAGAAGGGTAGAAACTGGTCAGACTTCGTAAGTTGTTATGAGTGAAGGAGAGGGTCAGGGAGATGGACAAACAGAAGAATTATATAGGTCCCAGGAAACTGCTATAACGTGTGTGTGTGTGTGTGTTCCTTGACCTGTAATTCCAGGTTGCTGAAGTAATCCCACGGGAGTGGGGTGGGCTGGTGGAGGGTGGACTCTAGCTCTGTGAAATGCTTCTCTAACACCTGGAGTGCTATGGTGGGCTAAGCAGGGAACGTGAAGTGTGGGGAACGTGGAATTCAATTCTGAATCTGCCAGCCATCACGGCAGGCAAAAGGGAAGATGGTTAAATAGTCCTAATAATTCTTGGTTAGTTTAATTCCCTTCTCAGTTCTCAAAGGAGCTTGGAGAACTGCCTTTTTTCCTTTGTGTAGCTTTGAGACTTTTTCTCAAAATGACTACAGAAAAGATGGTGGAGCATAGGGTGGGTATGGTGTGAGATATCCAGAGGAGCCACTTGTCACAGTGCGACTGAGAGAAACTTGTTAATTCTGTCCCCACAGCTGTGCTGCCGTGTCATCACAGCACTGGGTTTGAGGTAATTGGTGGGGCTCCCAAGCTGCTGCAGCCAGTTGGTGCCTCTCCAGAGGTGCTCCGTGGTGTGCTCCGGGCTTGGGAAACCCAAGTCCCAGGATTTTTGAAGACTTGATGCGGCCTGACCCTGAAGGTGCTTGAACATCAGGCTTGATCAAGAAGCCAAAATTTCACCTGAAGAGACCTGGAGCAGCAAGGCTTTTGACTTCTGCAGCTGCTGCTTTTCTTTGGAGCTTCTAACTCATTCCTCTCTTCCAGTCTTTCCCCAAAGTGATAACGTTGTGTGGCAGATTGAATCCCTGCCCATGTCTAGTGGGCTGCACTCCAGCAACTCAAACTTGAAGTCAAGGTGGATATCAGCTGACGATGGGGTTTCATGTTCAGCTAGCCAACTGAGTCCCACCTATACATGCGGCATGCAGCTGTAGCTCATTAAAACAGATTTTAGTTGTAAGACACCATGTATGCCCACACTTAAGATGTTCCCTCTAACAGCTTCTCATAGCAGAAGTACATTAAAAATCTAATCTCAATCTTTCTTTTCCAATTATATTGCCCACCTACTAAGTTGCACCATCAGGATGGTAGGTGTATTTAGTTATCATTCAGTTAACTACATGAGTGCTAAACACTATCTGCAGATATCTGCAGGACGGAAACTGGAGGGATAATCCCATAGAGACAAATGCATCTTCTGTCTTTAGACTGTACTAAAATGCCAGACTTAAATTCGAGAAAAATAAAAATAGCAGTGTCAACTGGAGCAGAATAGACTTGCAATGCTAAGACTTGACAGTACTAGTGACTTTCTCCCAAGAGGTATTTTTAAAGTAACTGCAGAACAGGCGTGACATATGGTCTATACATTAAAAACCATCTTTTCTCAAATACTAGTGACTAATTGAAACAAAAATGGCTTTAATTACAGGACTCCAGGAACTTGATTGCAAGAGAGGTCTGATAGTGTTGCAGACAGCATTTTCTTGTATTCCTTAAGAGTTGCTTGGCAGGTAAAAGAGTGTTAAATCTAATATCAAAGAAATTCTTCCACACTACCTAGCTAATCAGCGGTGGTATCATTATCATAATTTTTTTTAAGACATGATTTTATGGCATATGTTGTACCACACAGGTTTATGGCACGTATCTGCATATTTAAGATATCTGTGCAGGTATAATTAGGACTGGCTGTATTTTCCCATATGATAAAATCTATTTTCTGCTGTTGACTAAAGGTAGAAGTCTGAAGTTTTCATGGCCTGTAAGATTTGCAGCATTTTAGTTTGGAATAACTGAAATTTATTAATACTTTTTCCAAGGGATATGTTTAAATTTTTTTCAGAAAAGAAAATAAAACACTAAGTGTTTCCCTAGAATAACATATGTGCCCAGTAAGTGTGGCTTTTAAGCATGGTGATTTATAGTAGTGTGAATAAAACTTTGTAATTAATCTTTCAACATCTTTTTGAGAGACAGGTTAATAAATGTTATTTTCATTGATGTAGCATCTGACTAGATCCAGCAGTTTAAAAAGAAAAAAAAAAAAAAAAAAAAAAAACCCCCCCAATGTTGCCCTTCTTTTCCCGCCCCCCCCCCCCCCCGCCCCGAGAAAAGAGAGAGGGGAAAAAAAAAGGCCAGTTTCTCCTGGAAGGTTGGGGGATCAGATATTGAGATATCTGCATGAGCCTTTACCTGAATTGCATGGGGATGTGTCTTTAATTCTAAAGATAGTGATGGAACATTGCCTGGTAAAGAGTCAAGCTGCTGTGGGTTGTTTTGGTGCCTTTTTTTGTGACTTTTTTAAATTTAAATTTTTATTTTTTTAATTACCAAACTTTGACTCGACTGTAGTTCTCATGGATTAGCCTCATGCTCCTGAGGGCTAAGGTATACCTGGAACAGGACAGGGAATCCTGAGAGACAGGTTTCCGAGCAGAAGCGGGTGGTGGCTCTCCCTGCAGTCTGTGCTAGAGCAACAGCAGGTGACACATTAAACAAATGTCCCCGTATGACTCTTAAAAAATGACTTGCTAGTGTCCTGCAGCAGGAGGCGGCGGGCAGGACTGGAGCTTTACCTCACTCCTATGTTGCACAGTGCTCACCTAAACGTAGGTGCTGCGCAGGGCCTGCAAAAACGTGGGTGTTTGGGAGGCTGGTGGGGTGACCATTCCATGAACTGATGACAACAGAGACCAATTCTGAGGAAACACCACAGTGGAGCTACTTCAGGCACCGGGAAAACGCTTTCCTAGCGCTTCCATTCTGATTTCTATGGCAACAGGCAGTGTCACACATTTATCTGAAGTTAGTGAAATGTAAGACCTTTTAAATTTTAATACTTCTTGGCCTCTGGGTAGGTTCACCACCTGCTACCTCATATAGCAGCTGTCTAGAGCAGTTTGAGTCGCTTAGTTTTTCTATTTAAAAACTTTCACTTTGCTGAACTCCAGCTCGCAGCCTGATGAGGCTTCCAAAGACTAAAAGCTCTGCAGCTGCCTCGCCGCTAGTGCTGTGGCCCCCAGGCTGTTCTAGGAGGCATACTTCATATGTCACTTAGGCAGTCTTCAACTGGATGGTTAAACAGTAAATCTGCACATGGGCCTCACAGTCTCTTTTGTGGTAGCTCACAAAATCCATATCCGTCTATCTATATCTACAGATATTTTCAAAACATCCAAATGTTTGATAATTTTCTGTTATCACGGAGGCAAAGGGGCCCTGCTATGTCCAAGTTATATGTGGGAAGTTGGATGCTAGCGAAGAGCAGCCCCAGGCCACACAAGGAGCCTGCGACGGTGGATAGATCTGAAGTCAGACCCAAGTTGGACTAAGAGTTTTACCACCCTGGCTGTGGAAATCTTGGGTATAAGCATGATGCGAGATGATAGGCAATAAAAGAAAGCAGAGCCAGAAGCTGTGACAGTTTTTTCCTATTTTGTCCATTGCCAAGAAAGATTCAGATGTGACCTTTAAAATATTTTTTCAGTTCAATTTTGTGAAGATTTGTCCATTTTTATTGGCCTCACTTAATTCCCTATTAAAGATGTCTGCAATGCTATGTGGGCATCCCCTTCAGAACACCTCGCTTAAAGAAGTGGTGTATGAACAACTCCATCTATTAATTAAACTCAATTCAAGTGGTTGCATTAAACAGATATCAGACCTTACTGTATCGATTCCTTTTAGCTGTAGCCTGAAGCAGTATTCTTAATATTTACATTGAGAATAATTCGAGCTTTTCTACTCATATCACTGTAGAGCAGAAATTCTGTTATAATTCTATTTCACACAAGAAATATTGTTCAAGTATTGCTCCATGTACAAGTCTCAGCTACATTTCTGTTAACATATTAGTCATAAGAACTGTATAAGCCATATGAAGATTGGAAGTAAACTTATATAATAGCTAAATGGCACCTTCTGAAACACGGAGGCATTAACTTGTCTGTGCTTCCCAGGGTTTTTGCTTGGTGTATGAAGTCATTGCCTATTGCACATACTGCCACTTTAAACTGGCCTAGTGAAGTCATTAAAAATCATCGTGAGGAAAGAAATTTGCTGGAGCTGTGGGGGCATCTGGCTTGCTTGCTGAACACTGGGCAAGAGCAGCAGAGAATTAAAGGAACTCTCAGGTTTTATTCTTAAAAGAGCCCAGGTGGTTGTGGAAAACAGGGCTGCGGGTGTGTGCAGTGTGGCACAGCTTTGAAATGCTGGGGTGGTCTGGAGAGAGGCTCCCCTCGAAGAGCCCCTTTCCTGCAGGGCCTCAGAGACTTAGCACAGCGTAACTGAGAGCTCCGAGTGAAAAACAGGCTTCGCCTCCTAGGA